TGGATTAATTCAAGATTAATTCAAGCCTGCCACGGCCATACAGTTTGTAAGCAATATAAGTCTCTGTGTTTACTTGGTTGGGTCTGAGCGGCTGTGGGACTGGCGAGTGACAAAGATTTGGCCTGACTGTGGGCAAGGCAGGAAAACTCTAGCTACAAAGTTAGGTGGATAGAGAGATGGGAGAGGATCTGGAAGGAGTTGGGGAGGGAAAAGAATATGATTAAAATATAATGTATGAAATTCTCAAAGAACAAATAAAATCATTATTTTAAAAAAAGAAAGAAAGCATAAGACATGCCACTGGCCTGTCTGGAAAGAACAAACACATTCTAAAGTACACACATTTTACTTCCTTCTTTGTCCGTCAGACTACTGAAAGAATGGACCTTCAAGAAATTAAAGTTTCTCCAGGAACATTCTGCTATGACAATTAATGCCCCAAAGCCATAGGGGCAGCCTGGCGAAGAACTTGTCTCCAGGAGCAAAACTTTACAACTTGTCAGGTGATCTTGCAGGACAGACCTGGTGCTAAAAAATGGTGGGCAGGAGACCACATCTTAGATGATCTGTTTAGTTGTGTTTCCTTTGCTTTGTATTTAAATATACTCTCATATTAGGACCCTAAAGAGAGACTCGAGGAAGGGGTTCATTGGATCTCTCTGTGGTACATTTCTACAACTTCCCCAACTACTCAGGAGGATCTCAAGTCTATGAGCAGCCTGGGCAGCACTAAGAGATCCCAGCGAAAAAACAAAGTCCCACAACTTTCAGCAAAGTAGAGTGGGACCCACCCCATATCGGTGACATTTGTACCCAACAGCTTGCCCATTTCAACAAGGTCATCAGATTCCTAAAATGTCACACACAAAAAAAAAAAAAAAGAGGTCAAATATTTAAGAAAGCATGGTAATTTATCCTTCCCTCCTTACTGATGTTATGAGGAGGTAATTCTCCTACCTCCTCTTTCCAGGGCCTCTGGGAAGGATGTTATAAATGCGGCAGCTAGTAGGGATGAGATCACTACATCACTCAGAAAGAGGACAAGCCATCCCAAAGACAGTCATTCTTAGGCTGTACTCCAAGGACGGGACTTTGGCTTTGCTCTCAATAGCAAGAGAATGCTGATGGAATTTTAACCTCACCTATAGTTCAAACCTCATGTAGAGCATTGGATAGATGGGTAAAGGTTGCTTTTCTTGGGAAGGAATAGAAGTTTATGTCATACAGTTTTCTGATCACCTCTGTGAAGCATTATGAATTTACTAATACTAATAGAAATTAACATAAATAAGCTTTGTTTTGTTTTGGTTTGGTTTTTTCAAGAAAGGGTTTCTCTGTGTAGTTTTGGCGCCTTTCCTGGAACTCACTCTGTAGACCAGGCTGGCCTCAAACCCACAGAGATCCACCTGCCTTTGCCTCCCGAGTAATGGATTAAAGGCGTGTGCCACCATCTCCTGGCTAACATAAATGAGCTTTAAAGGAAGCCTGAAACCCAGCATCCTAAGGTACAAGTGACCCGTGATAAAGGAGGGAAATGGATTGTCCTTACTACTACGGTATGTAGCGCCTTGTCTAAACACTTGACAGTTTGCTTGCATTTTCAGATTGGCCAGTATTCTCCAGATTAAGCAGTTCCATTCCACAACCACCTCTCCATCACCTGCCTCCAGCTGGGAGTGTCAGAGCGGCTGCTATCCCTTACCCCTTATCCTATAACAAAGGGATGGAACAGTGACAGAACAAAACAGGGCGTGGCTTATCCCAAACTCCCTTCATCCCAGTGTTCTTCCTTCAAGACAGCTGCAAGTGGACTGATGACCAGCTCCTGAGCTCCAGCTATCCTTTCCTCAAGATAAAAAGGCCTTAGAGCACTAGCCCTGAGGTGCCTTTGGGGGTCCTAGTCTTCATCTTCTAAGTCTTGCTTAGAAGAAAAAAAATCCATTTTTTCCTTGCTCCAACAGCCTGTCCTCAGTTCACTGGGACCGTTATCAATTCGTGAAGTAAATGGACAGGCTTGGGAACACACACAGTACTGAGAGCATCTTATTTAGATTACTGGTCCAAGAATTCCAAGTTACATGGGATGCAATTATTCAAACTTAAGATACATGTATATCTGATGTGCACGGTGCAGAATCAGCAAGGCAAAGCTATCTGCAGGACATTTAATTGCATAATAAATGGAGACACAACATGTACCCTTGGGAGCTTATAATGTAGTTGAAAGACAAAAATTAACAAAAAAAAATGTCAGCTACTAAATACTTTATTTAGGTATGTTTGTCAAGCAAGACAGTAGTTATAATTTCATAAAACACATTTATTCCATTCACAAAGCTTGGGGGAAAATGTTTCAGTAGCATTAGGTATCAACTCTTGAATACTCAAAATTGTCTTCTCTCATTATTCTGGGTAATAGATGCATGTAAATTAACTCATTTTTTCTGCATAAATTATCCCCCCAAGCTAATTTGCAACATATAATTCTATCTGCAAAAAGCTGACACAACCCCTCATGAATAGAATATGAATAAAAATATGAAAAGAGCACACATTTTAAAACCTGAGGACAAAAACTGAATACACTGGCTTTGGCCACCAGCCTTTTCCTTCAAATGCTAAGCATGGGCTGGACCGTGAGCTGCTGGGAGGAGGTAACAGCCATAGATGAGTCTTCTGTTTAAGAATTCACTGAAGTGCTTGGGCCTCTGAATGCAAGTATTAAATTAAAAATTCTACCACGTCAGTGAGAAGAGGTGGAGAATTCACCTGGAGTTAAGTACAGTGATGATTTATTTCCCCTTTTCAACAGCTCTCCGAATATTCCAGTCTGACATAGAAGAGGCAGTTTACTTTAAAGTATAAATGTAACACTTAAGGGTAAACCTATTGGTAACCTAGTTTTCACTGGCATACCAATGTGGGGAGAATTTCCATGTAGGTCCTAAGAAAGTGAAAAGAAAGAAAAAAAGAAAAGAAGGAAGAAGGAAGGAAGGAAGGAAGGAAGGAAGGAAGGAAGGAAGGAAGGAAGGAAGGAAGGAAGGAAGGAAG